AAACTCGTGGCACTCGCGAAATATTCACTTTGTAAAAAACCACCTCACAAGCAATCCGTTTTTCCATCACGAATTTGATGGAGTCAGACCTTCAAAAAGTTGGTCAAAATGTTCGCCAAAACTTGGTCAATATATCAGGACACCCCGCCCAATATTAATGACTTCACGACGTCCCAGATTATTTGTTTGTTGCATACATTAACGGTGATTTAGCAATGAGTATGTTGTCAACATGATTACCTTTAGCCTTAGCATCTCCGTTCAGGTAGACCAAAGAGCGGAATTTATATCCGTATGGGCCTGTCAGCGCAGGCTCGCTTTGTAAGATTGGTTCAATTCCATTCACTGCTTGACGGAAACGTATTTCAAAGTTGTCAATTGCCCACATGAGTGTGCCATTACCCGTCATGTTGCGAGCCTGGTTGGAAAAAGATATAATGAGAGCATAATTCATGAGAACGAAAATAATATGCATCGTGGTCGAGTGGATCGAACGAGAGTATACGGACATACATATAAATTAAACAAGATAGCCTGGTTTCCATGAGGGCCGGGTGTACATGAATGCAAATTTACAATACAAACAGTCATGCAGTGGCGCGGACACTTCACGAAATATTGGGGGGGGGAGGATTTTCAACATGCATGCTAAAGGGGTTTTGGTGTCCGTTTAAGGCTCTAAGTTATGCGAATCTTTCAGAACGTGGGTCATTTGATGAAATGAATAAAGCGTTGTGCCATTTGACTGACATGATTAGATATTTTTCTAAGATAATTAATCATGTCGTATGATGTCGATTAGCGTTGTGCTCCTAAACAATGCTTGTGAATTGTGATATTTGGTACCAGACTTTTATAGGCCTTTCATAGGAACATTTCAAGGGCACTCTCTACTTGACACAATAAGAAGACAAAAGATGAAAATAAACGAGCCGGCTTCATCAACTCATCGTTTGTTTCAGAATCGTTTTAAAGGAGCTTATGGATGTAGTGATTTTTGCCTCATAAGGAAGATTGTTCCAAAGAACGGAACCACTGTAGCTGGAACACCTTTTTCCAAATTCTTTCTTGGCTTATAGAAAGTGATATAAATCAGCAAGTTTCTGTATTTCCCCAGGTTGTATGTGTCACCTGTTTCAGTGTTTAGTCGAGAAATTTCTTTTAGGTTGGATTGGGTGAATTATCACAAAACCAGGAGAAACGAAGGAATAAGGAAATGTAATCACGCACCTGTTCAGTGGCCAGAAGCGCCAGTTTCTCAGAATGCTGGTTCAGTTGAAAAGTCTTCTCACGCAAATCTGCACCCATGTCACGTATTTTACCGCAAGCATGATCCAGATGTTTCTGAAGATTCTGATCGAGATGAGCTTTCATTTGATGGCGTCGGATCTAGAATGGGTTACGATGTTATTGCAACTACATTGCATATTCTAGTTCTTAAAAATGTGGAACAGCAATATATACAGCACTCATGAGCGTGTTGTATCAGATATAGTTTGAGAGAGAGGTTGTATATCCGATACAACACGGACGATGAAGGTTTATGCAAATCAAGTGAATTTTGTGGGGATACAACACCTCATTATCATATCGTGGATACAACACCTCATTAGAGAGTAAAATACAAAACAATGGAAACTCCGAAGAAATTCATATTTTTAATTCAACGTTTCGACTACTGTTGAGTCATCATCAGGAATTATGAAAGCTTTCATAATTCCTGATGATGACTCAACAGTAGTCGAAACGTTGAATTAAAAATATGAATTTCTTCGGAGTTTCCATTGTTTTGTATTTTATTAGAATACTCAGTGGTTATCGAAAATTTTCATTAGAAAGTGTTCTATTGAATTTCTCATAATATACTTTAAGGCCTATGAATGTTCAGATGAGGGTACATATACTCAGGCCAAAAAAAAAAATGTGGGTTTCCGATTTCCCGACCCTACCTAGCTTTTGGACGTCGAAATCCCGACCCTAAACTTTTTATTGGATCATGCTTGTAAGTGTTTCCACTTAGAGGAAAAAGTTTGTGGAAAATTGAAATTTGAGGCAATATTAGGGAAATTTATCATTGGATGTGGAAGCACTGACTAATCAAAATGGCGTCCGCTTATTCGGAAAATTAAAAAAAAGTTAAAAAAAAAAAGTTAAAACCGACCTACCCTACCTAAGTTTTTATAAGAAGAAACCGGAAACCCACATATTTTTTTTTTGGCCTCAGAACTCATCTACTCGTTCGCATGCATCAGAAAAAAAAATTGCACTAGAAATCGCAGCAAAGATTGCAAGCGTAAACTGGCCTTTATCCATGATGGTCTCTGCCAGTGTATAGGTAGTGCCAATAATAGGAAAGCTTCGGATGGATAGGGATACTACTACCTGAAAAATACAAAGAGAAGGCCCTTCGTCGGGAAGGCCCTCGTTCGTTGTATCCCTATCTATCCGCGGCTTCCCCTATCCATACCTCATCATCACAACCAACGTGCCTGTACTGACATGGCAAGATTGTTAGAGGACATTCGTTCTCAACATGCTTCTTCATCTGAAAAGGAAGAGCGAAAAATGCATTACACTACCACAAGGAAGACAAGCTAGAGCGTGTCTTGTTTAACTTAAGAGTAATTACCGACCTGTCCTCGTGGTATGTCTCTGGTTAAACAGCCATTGATGCATTTCTCAGGAACGCCACGGCACGTTGCTTTGTGCACCTTGGGGAAGCAAGCATAAAAAGATAAATCTCTTCCACAGATTTGGTATATTTTATGTCATAGATGAAAGCATCACGAAGTTACGCCCCCGCCTCAAGTTTCTCATCAATTTTGGAAGAATTACCAAATCAGTCCTGGAGAAAAGTGAAGGGGTCCAGAGCCCCCCATTCCTCCCGTGGCTACGCCCCTGGACCACAACGTACGTACCTCCTCCTTGCAAACGGCGTATTTATCTTCACAATAATCACAGACGACAACACGCCATTGGCACTCATTCTTCTGATGATTTTCAAGACGGCTTCTTGCCATGACGATGTTGCAGTTGGGATCTGGACATTTCACGTCTTCAAATTCACACTCTTCAACATGATCCTGAGCGAAAACACGAACACGTAAGCCCGACATGTATTGCTTGACCGCGTTGGGAATCGAACCTGAGCAAGTTTTTTAGGTACTCACACAGAGTAGCGTCGCTTCAAATAATTTACCTAAACGTCTAACACCACAATAATTAGATCTTTTCATCATATCACAATAGGGAGCTTAAGGAAGAGACGTTCTTGTCAACACCAACGTCATATTGCCGAGAGGGAGAACTGGATTAAAAACTGTGTTTGTATGAGTTTGTGGTAATCCTCAACACATATGACAAAACATAATAAAAGCTTTTAAGTATACAAATAATGAATGTTTTTATTCGTGCAATGGTAAGAATATTTTCATGAGGTGAAAGATGGAATGTTCCATTCAACGAGGCGACAGCCGAGTTGAATGGAACATTCCATCTTTCACCGAATGAAAATATTCTTACCATTGCACGAATAAAAACATTCATTATTTGTTTTATATAATACCGAAATAGACTAATATTAAAAGGTTTACTGTAAGCTTTCGCCATTTTGACGAGTCGTATTTGCGTTAAATCCCATTTACTGAGTTTCGAATATCGGGTTAAAATAAACTGCGATCACCGTCATCACCGTACGAGAAGCATTTAAAGAGTGCAATGGAACAAAACGTATAGTACAATTGCACTCGCAAGAGTGCAATGGAACGCATTCCATTGCACTCTTGGGAAATGGAATTTTTATTCAATATCACGTGACCATAAACAGCCAATTAAGCGATCAGAATTCAATAAGGTATTATATAAAAGACATTCATGAACACTATACAAGACACCGCAGAGATCTCCATCTAATACCACGAGCAAATACGAACAAGGGAAAACAACGTCTCAAGCTTCTATAGACTTTAAGAATCTAGAACGTGAACTAAAAAACGCTACTTCATTACATAACTTTAAAAAATTATTAAAAAGACGGTGTGTATACGAGGTATAAACCTCTCATTCTCTTTCGTCCTCCACTATACGACTTCTTCACTTATATTTATCTTTCTCTCTCAATCTTTATCTGTTTTCCACTTCAAACGTATCGCAGCCAAGTGTAGCGTATGTATTTGTTTCGTGAGCATTCAGATAGAATTTGATGCCCTTCAAACAAAGAAATGCGTTGTGTTTCGTTTCGATTGGAGTGGAAATCAGGTTTTTATTAATACTCTTAAATAATTATATTGTATATATGTGTTGCTGTAAATAGTGCATGACTAAATATTGAATTAATATACTGTAATTTAAAGTTGCAGGACCCCACTGAAAAACACTTCGGTGATGTGGGTATCCTGGATAAATATGAAGATAATAATAAGCTTTTAAAGTTTTTTGCTTCCTTACACCAGCCCTATGATGCAAAATGTCATAGTCATACAAATTTTCGGGTGACCGTCTGTGCAGATAAAAAGTCGCTTGCTTAAGGTCCAGACACACCAGACGCGATTCGACAACGCGACGCGATTTTTTAGTTTCTGAAAGTTAATAAAACAGCCAATGAGAGCAAATTTTAAAAGATATGTAAACCAAATAACTCAAAATGTTATAGCGCTTCTAAATATTTAGAAAGTTTAAACTAGGATCAAAGTTATCGGTCAGTGAAAATCGAAAAATCGCGTCGCGTTGTCGAATCGCGTCCGTTGTGTCTGGAACTTTAAGCTAAGTTATTGTACTATTGTTGACATGTGACAAGAATTCAAATTTTAACCATTACCTCCAAAAGAGAGTTCAATGTTCCGGTCCAGGGACAACTTTTGAATTTACATCGTACTCTGAGTGACATGATCGTATTTCGCCAAGCGCGGTCTTGGAATACCTATACACAAAACAAAAAATATTTGTTGCATTTTGTGAATTAATATTTAAGAGAAGAATTTTTTGTATGTTACGTAACAGGCACAAGTGAGTATAATATACCACTTATGGTTACATACATACATACAAAACTTTATTTAAACCACGCTAGCCTCAACAGTCGCTGGAAGGCTGGTTTCCATGAGGGGCGTGAAATTACCTATTTACAAGAAATTAACTATTTACAAGAAATACAAAATATAACAAAAAAAAATACAAGTGATTTTAGCCGCACAATTACACACAAGCAAATTTCAACTCATTCTTTGTTTCAATATCGATTTGAAAGAGCTTAAGGATTCAGCAATTTTTGCCTCATGGGGAAGATTATTCCAATGCAAGGCACCGTTATAACTGAAGCGCCTCTTGCCGAATTCTTTTTTCGGCATAGGTGGTGCTAAATCAGTATCCCTATTTCGAAGATTGTAAGTATTATGTCTTTCATTGTTAAATTGAAATGCTTCTTTAAGACTGGGTGCGGTGTGGCCATTCAGAATTTTATAGATGAAAATAGATTTAAGATAATTTCGTCTTTCTTCAAGAGGTTTCCAATTTAGATTATCGAGCAACTCAGATGACCGAATATCGTAAATTGCCCCAGTAATCACTCTTGCAGCACGATTTTGGTATTTCAATGGTTCATTCAAAAATTCTATCGATACATCATTGATAAAAAGCATCATTTGATGCTTAATCTGCATGTAAAATAATCCTAAAATAAAGGGATTTTAGATGGTACGCCAAAGAGAAAATGATGTCTGCATGAAGTTCAGTAAGTTTTGCCTATATTGTTGTAAATATGGCGTCACTTTTAAACATCGTTAATCAAATTGTATTTTAATTAACAATTTTTTACTATTTCTTTATGTTTCTCAACAGGCAAATGCATTTAATTAAAAAGGTAGCCAACTGTATAAACTATAGAGAATAAAGCTACTAAAACAAAGGTAGGACGCCAAAAAGATTTTGTTTTTGAACACTTTTCATTGCAAATAGGCGACATAGAAGGTGAACAATCTAGGCAATCCAAAAGTACAGAACTCTTATATCTGTATTTATACACCAAAGAAAGTCAGTTTATATCACAAAGTTCCCCCAACTTATTAAATTTTGAACGCTATAGCTCTTAAGATCTAGGACTTAATTTTTCTTCAAATAAGCCTCAAATCTGATAGATGAAGTAATTAAAGGCTTTGTTCCGTTGTAAATTAAGACATAAATATTTAATTTTTAATCATATAGCAAAGTAATCAAAAGATTATAGTTATATTGTCATGTATACCTCGCTCTCTTTGAATTCTTTTCTGTCAATGGGACAGTGCCTATTAAGCCCATATCTGCTGAAGAAAAACAATTAGAGAAAAGTTAATTTAGGGATGGACCATTAGAAAAGTGATTGGGGGGGGGGGGGGTAGGGAAAAACCAAAATAAAAATTATTCCCATTTCTAGCTTGGAAGATAGGCCTATAAATTTCACTTAAAAAAATATTTCCAGCCATCAAGTGAGAAAAAAAATTTCTTCTACAGGTGTACAAAAAAAATATATTGCCTCTTAGAAAATCCCCCCCCCCCCCAATCACTTTTCCATTAGAAAAGTTATAGGGGGGGGGGTTCTAAGAGGCAATATATTAGGTAAGATCAGTGGCGGATACTGGGGGGGGGGGCAACTGTCTCCACCCATGTCCCCACCCCCAATAATACCTGAAAGCCAACAATTTCTTAAAGTATCTATTTTTTAATATAGTTGGGCCCAGGACCTTAAATACGCTTGGACAAGACAAAATGTCAATTTGCAGCATAGCAAGCCATGTTATAAACAAAACAGCTGTGTGAAAAATTAAGTGACAAACAGCATGCATAAAGGTTTTAAAACGTTAAAACACGAATTAGTATAATACTATAGATAATGTCATGCATGGAATCAAAACAATGAAAAAAAATGTTTTGGAAAATTCGTTATAAGTTTCCAATTAACAAAGCCTATTGCCGTAACAATTTGAGCACTGTTTCTAAACGGAGCGAGATGAAAACGAAGCGCTTGGCGGCTTGTGTGAACACAAACGCCGTTACTTTTTTGCACCGCTTGCATGAAAACCAAGCATCTCAGCTAGGTCTCCGAAAACAGTAAATTCGAATGCCGTTCGTTTAAATGTCTATATAAATACATAGTTATATACATATAAGCTAAACATGCAGGTATAACATCTAATGACTAATGTTTTAATAATTTCAGGCATCTTAATATCTTAGCAACAATGTGCCAACTGATATTCCTGCAAGATAAGTCTTAAGTCAATTTTCGTTTTAATATATACACAGCACAAAAGTAATAAGTTTAATTTAACATCGTTGTCAATAATCTCTTTGAGTCGTTTACTTTACGACAAGCCAAAGCAAACATACTATATTGAGCGTAATAGCAAATTAGTCAGTTAAACAATATATAGTATGCAAACGCCAAACATTACGAATGTTGACAGAGAATTAATTTCGCTTATTGGAAAACCTGTTAATATTGATCCCTTTATGGACCACACATCAATTTTAGTTAGAAATTTCAATTAATACAAAAAGCATGCAAAATAGGCTATAGCGCTGAATTAGAGCTGGAGTTAATTAAATTTAGAACGAAAAATTCTTTGTCTCGGGCGGCCGGGTTCGAACTCGTTTCTTTGGGTTTCAAGTTTGCGAATAAAATTACAAATGCTGCGATACGTTTTACCTTATAAGTCTTTTGTCGCTTGAAAACGTTTATAATGATTAGCTAATACAGGCAAAAATGAGTATACAATTATAAACAGGTCAACCTAGGATAATTCAACACGAATTTGGCATGCAAATGCGTCCATGCACTGTTTTAATAAATAAGTCATTATAAATTTTTAAAAACTGCATTGAAGTGAAAAAATTAAACTGCATGATAGATGTTTGTAGTAACAAACGTTGCCTTGGTTATATATATGTATATATGTATAACATTATCGCATGCATGAGTGACGAAAACTTTGCAACTATAAAAATGTTCGTTACATCAGTATAACTTTATTCTTCAACGTGCAATCTTAAAATGTACTGAAAATTTATAAGTTCAATTTTATTTAACCATACAATAACCATAGGCCATACTAAAATAAGTCATGCCTATGGGTCTCTGTTAGTTACATTATTTTAAAGCACTCAAATATAATCAAATTTAAGTGCAAAAACAACGGGAATTTCTCACTCGAATGCAGAATGTTTTGTCTTTTGATATTAAAACAATACTGAACTCATGTTGACAAGCATGCAAAGCAAATATATTCGGATTTTGACAATGTCCATGAAATGAAAGATGCTATTAAATTCCGATTTTCTATAAAGAGAGTAATATAATGCCCTAAATTATAATGCTCGAGTCTCACAATCCATAAACTAATGGAAAGTAATAATTTAGTCTTCAATATGTTTTAACTTTGAAATAATTATAACTTTTTTATGAAACTATGAAATATTATTATTAAGTCACTTGCGGTGTCAAAATGTAGTCGAAACATCTGATGAAGGACAATTGCTAAAGAGTATTAATTTTAGGTTTAAATTTTTAGATGTACAGTAAAAAGGTTTAGTACATTATACTAGATTTTTAACAACTTCTTAAAATAGCAAAGAACAGTTTTAACTTACCCAAGATTTTTCAAATAGCAACTGTTACAGAAGCGATGTCCACAAGAAATAAGCTGGATCGGGTCTCGAAGTAGATTATGACATAGCGGGCACTTGTAATCGGGTGGCACCTCACTTGTAAAGTCGAAATTCTTGTTATCCAAGATATGAGGCCCGTCGGCTCTGTAAGATTCCCGTCTAAGCAGCCTAGGCATTTTCTAAAACAACTCTCATAAAAGTGTCATCTGCACTGTATGACAAGCCGAAGGGAATGTTGTGTACAATCGATACTGTCTTGGTAACAAGGGCTAACCACAAAACAAGACGCGATTGGTTCATATGTTGAAAACACCTGTACCGTAGCGAACAACTTCTGAAGTGGTCGCTATAGCAATGATTGTTATAAAACTTAAACTTAAAACTAACTTTATTTGTTATGCTAGATAGCTCTAACAGTTTTACAATGCTCTGCTTGAGGTCCAGTAAGTCACATCCATTATATATTTGTCTCACATGCATGTGCTGTGTTTTGACCATAGACACATGCAGTTTTGATAATTACGTCATGAATATACGTTCTTGGCCTCAGTGGTAGCCTCGCTCTCGTGAATCAAGACGGAATGCGATTGGCTCACGATTCATGAAAACGAGGCTCCCAGGCCAAGAACGTATTCATGACGAAATTATCGAAAAGGTGTATTATATAGAGGATATTACACGGCGGCGCGAAGATATGATTTTTATCTTCGAGTGGTGAAAACCGAGTGGTTTTTAACGAGAAGATAAAAGTCAGATCTTCAAGCCACCGTGTAATATGTTCTGTTTATTATATAGTCCCAAGACTCCGAAGCAAAAAATTGTGAAATTTCAAGCTCAAAAGCAAATTGGAAAAAAGTCACGTGATCGATATCTTCATTAGTGAAGATATGGAAAATATCTCACTGTGTATTTTTCAGTATCTCACTCTCTACTATATAATAAAACTGCACATTGTAGGAATTTGAATGGAATTTTCAGTTGGACGCAGAGGCGACAGGCACCTTTCGTTAACACCGAAAACACATTGTTTCACATTTGTGATACAAAACGTTTCTGAGTTTGTTGCTGTTGGCAAACATTCTGGGGCCGGTTGTATAAAAAAGTTAACTATGGTTAAGTGCAAACGTCCAATAAGAAGCGCCTATTTAAGAGTTAATCACTATTTAACTACAAAATAGTGATTAAAAAAGTGATTAAGAGTTTTATACAACCGGCCCCTGGCTTCCCCGAAGGGAAATGTTGTGTTGTTGTTTGCAACAATGATCTCAAGGCAAGGTGGGAAAAGAATATTTGAACAAACGTCAATATTTTTTGATGTTTCTCAAACAATGTTCCCTGCATTTCGTAGTTTACCTTAATTTCTCGTTTAAACCAGATCAAACAAGAAATACAATTAAAGCTGGTTTTTGCGGACCTGACAAGCGGATGCCAACAAAGAAAAAAGTCGCTTCACGTGAACAAATTTGCCTAATAGATAGTGGAGAACCGGGCGCTTTATAAGTGTTGCAATCAAGTTCCAATCAGCTTGCCTGTGTTGGAGATCATTAGCATGCGCAGGTTGATATTAAATATTCATATCACCTGGAAACGCTGGGCGAGGAACGAAATAGACAACTTGCATGTTAGACAAATTTTTCATCCAGGAAAAAAAAGTAAATTCCCGTAAAGAACGTATTAAAATTAGTAAAATTGCAAAATTTGGTTACAAAATGTTGTAAAATACAGAAAATATAGCCTTGCGAAGTTTGCATATTTTCAGTATATTTGTATTACGTGCGGAAATTGTTACCATTTTTGAGCCGAAAATTAAATGGTAACAATTTCCGCACGCTTGTTTTTTAAGAGTTTATTAGCGAGTGGGAAACTCCAACATGGCCGCCATCTATTCAAATGGAGTAACCGCTGGAATATTCTTGGCTTCAATTTTACTAAAAGAGATGCGCTATCTAGTGTATATAAGATATCTATGGTTTTCAACCGTATGAGAAGGGTTTTCTTTTGTGTCGAAGTCATAATTGAAGGCATTTCCCTGGAATAGTTTAATAAATCACATTATTCCAATCTCTAGAAAATTTCTAAAACATTTATTGCGCGAATTGACCGTCACAAACTTGGCCCTATGACAACAAACGTTATAGAAAATATTGCATGAAAAAGGCTTCAAAGAGCTAAAATGTCGCAACGAAATAAACATCAATATTGTTCTCATGAGCAAAATACACAAAAGTCAAAAGTATCGCTCTCAAATTCAGCTTCATTTTCAATTTTTACAACTGCCTCCAACAATGGAATACCGTATTTACTCGATTGAACGCCGCCCGCAAATGAGCGCCGCATTTGAGATCAAATTTTCTTGAACTTTCCGCCATCAAAATGGGGATATTTAGTGACAAAGACGTTTAAAACTTTGTTTATTTTATTGTTAAACGTTCTTGATATAATTCACAAATAAACGATTTTTTAAAGAGTGCCGCCCCCGAATGAGCGCCGCATCTGAAGCTCTGAAAGTATAAAGAGCGCCGCGGCGCTCAAACGAGTAAATACAATATGTTTGGCAAATGCAGCGGCAACATAACGTCAATGAAGACGCGCGTTTCCATATGGTCGTAGTGACGGTGAAGTGGACTGGGACACAGGCTAATGGAAACAAGGCTTATCAATAGAATTTCTACTACGATGTCGATCTAACGCCGGTCGATTGACTTCGCTCAAACTACGCGCCAGAGCGGTTTAAAAACGGCGCGGAAAAGTCACAAGCGAGCTTCAAAGATGCATCAAATCTACGACGCGGACGTGACATAAAAACCGTTGCTAATGTTTGAAATCCAGTTTTATTTTGCTTCACTTGTGTCACTGACTTTGTCTACCAACTACATGGAGGCCATAATTTTATCCGTGTAGTGAAACTGTGGCAATAGTCACAGTTTTTCTTCACGTCCGCGTCGTAGATTTGGTGCATCTCTGAAGCTCGCTGCAACATTAGCTCTCGCGTGCACATTACGCCGGAGCGAAATATTGTTTGAAAACGTCACTGTTGCCGTAACAATAGATGATTCCAGCTATATAGACGAAATTTTGATCAAGACAAGAAGAACTAAATCCATTACCATAGCTGGAAAGAGCATCTTAAAATGAGTAAAATTGCAAAGTTTGGTTGCCAAATGTTGTTAAATAAGGAAAATATAGCCCTGTAAAGTTCGCAAATTTTGTATATATGTACACACAAAATTTGCGAAACTTCACAGGGCTATATATTTTTTCATTTTACAACATTTCGCATGCAAACTTTGCAGTTCTACTCCTTCTAAGACGCTCTTTCTAGCTGTGCTGTTGGATTTCGTTCTTCTTGCCTACACGCGTAAAAACGCTCAGGTTGATGCAATACTGATGAAAACAGGATTGAACAATGTTTGGCTGCCCACATTGTTCATAGTTGTCAACAATATTGAACAATATTGTTACACCCGATTCAGGCTCAACAACATTGTTCAATATGAATTTTTTCTGTGTTGGTGTAGTGTACTCAGGTGAATATGATATTTGTGGTGTTACTCTGAGTGTATATCCACACCGGGCGAGCTTGAAAAATATGCCCGGCCACGGTGGGATTCGAACCTACGACCTTTGGAATACTAGCCCAAATGGAACACCACAAATATCATATTCACCTGAGTACACTACACCAACACAAAAAAAAATCATATTACTAGAATACATTGGTATCGAAGGAACTAGATTCTGTTCCGAAATATCACTTACTCGAACCGTCCTGACCGCGTAGCTCAGTTGGAAGAGCATTGGGCTAGTATTCCAAAGGTCGTAGGTTCGAATCCCACCGTGGCCGGGCATATTTTTCAAGCTCGCCCGATGTGGATATACACTCAGAGTAACACCACAAATATCATTGTTCAATATTGTTGACAAGTGTGAACAACGTGGGCAGCAAAACATTGTTCAGTCCCGTTGAGCAACGGGCTCGGCGTTTTTTGCCGTGTAGATCAAAATTTAGTCTATAGAATCACCCATTTCAGCACGGTTTCTAAACGGAGCGAGATGAAAACGGAGCGCTTGGTGGCAACGTGTGACCAGCGGTAACATCTTTATCTTGCTCCGACTTTCAAAAAAATCAACCAACAAAAAACTTCACTGCACTAAAAAATCAAAAATGAAGCCGAACAATCTACTACTCAGCGATGGTATTTCTGCGTGAAGCGTAAAGCGAGTTACTAGGGTCCTCGAGTTCTCGTGGGGATTCTTGGAGACTTTTCGACCTTTGCTCTACCCTTAGATCCTCAAATACCCCCTTACTAACCCTCTCAAACACCGAGGAACGACGATTCCCTCGACGATCGTTCTTACCAGTTAACGCGGCTGCGCGACGTTTTGTTTCTTCACATGTCGCTTCTACAGGAGCGGCTGGTTTAGCCGAGTTGCCTGCACGGTAATATTGCAGTTGTGCCAAGTATCTAAAAGTATGATAAACAATACGTTAAACTCGTTCCCAGACTCTTAAAGGGTCTTTACCCCTGCCTCCTCCGCAGACCCTCGTTGCGTCATGGGAAGGTCACGTTCTGGCGAGGGCCTGCGGAATCTTGTAAAAAAATGGCGCAGGCGTCACGTCAGCAAGTAAATTTCTACATAATATTGAATATAAACAGATATGAAAAAGCGGCATGAAACTTGTAAATTAAACTGGCGACTCTAAGGACGTGGAAAGAAGGATTTTTTAACGATAAGGTTTGTTGTCCACACCAACGTTGCACGAATAAAACGGCCTTCTTTAACGAAGCAGGTTCAAAACAACATTTATTCATTTTACAAGATTCCGCAGGCCCGATTTCGAGAGAAATCGTGACCTTCCCATAACACAACGAGGGCCTGCGGAGGAGGCAGTCTTTACCCAGTGACCTGCACATATATCTGAGTTTATCTGAGCGAGAACTCGAGCCATCCTCGTCCCCAGGCCCAAGCTCGGGCGAGACTTGAGCCAGCTTCGTGTTAACCGCGCAGACAAAAACAATAGAAAGGCCTGGAACTGACGTCCAATTTCCGCCATCTTGGCAAGGAGTGTGCCGAAATTTCGTATTTTGATTTTTGACATCGATTTAAAGAATAACACTATGGTTTTGGTTGCCGTTGGCGATACGGTCCGTTAGAAAAAAACTGATGAATGGACCATTTGCATTATAGACTAAATTTTGATCTAGACAAAAATTTCATTACAGCTTGAAAGAGGATCACAAAATTAGTAATATTCCAAAGTTTCGTTGCGAAATGTTGTAAAATGCGGATAATATAGCCTTGCGAAGTTTGCCGTTTTTCAGTCATTTTGTATTACGCACGGAAAATTGACAGCCCAATCGGGTGTTGGGGGCATCAATTTCCCGTTTGTAATACAAAATGACTGAAAATTGCAAATTTCGCAATGCTATATTATCCACATTTTACAACATTTCGCAAAGAAACTTTGGAATATTACTAATTTTGTGATGCTCTTTCAAGCTGTGATGTAATTTTTGTCTAGATCAAAATTTAGTCTATAATGCAAATGGTCCATTAGCTTGGGAAAATGGTATAGAAGCTGTTTACGACCTTCATAGCTATTGAATGTCAATGGCCGCCATTTTGGCTTCCCTTTTCTCACAGGCCGAATGACTGTATATATAGAGCTCAGTATATATAGAGCTCACTGGATAAAAAATGCAACAACCAAGTTCCTAGACTCAGATTAAACCACAGATTAAGTACATACCAGATGTGTAACTTCATGGGATTTCGTATCTCAAATTTCCCCAAAGCTGTACACGTCATGACACTTGCTAGGAAGATGGCGCGTAACATTAACGCCCATTCTAAAAGCTCACTAACACTCACACTCAATGAGTGGAGGTTCAATCTGAGCTTCTCTCGAGTGTCAATGCTGTTTTTGAATAGCTGAAGGGTGAGTGTCATACCTTACTATGTGACTACTCACCCTCCAGCTATTCAAAAACAGCACTGACACTCGAGAGAAGCTCAGATTGAACCTCCACTCAATGAGTGTGAGTGAGCTTTTAGAATACGGGCGTACGTATTACCCAAATGACGAATTATCACGCGAGCACACTTGCTAGGAAGATGGCGACCATGCAGGGACAACTTTTTTTACTGAAGTTACACATCTGGTCCACACTTAATCTGTGGTCTGAACACTGATCTGTACTCAGTGCTAAAGACAAAAAGTGACATGTGCATACGTACTGTAACTCCTGCAAGCGATTTTTAGCTTCATCGTCCTCTTCATGACGTTGTAAGAATTGTTTACGATAGAACATGTAGTTGAAGACAAGAAACGTCAGGAACAGTATCGTGATTAACGTCACGCATGCGAACTCCACGTAGAAATAGTTCGTGACACGTTCTTCTTTCACGTAAACATCAAATTCCAAGATCGTTTCGCAGAAACTGAAAGTACATGGCAATATGGCATTTCAATCCAAGGCATGTAAAGGCTAAAATTGTGAATCTGGGGGGGGGGGGTAACAAATGAACCCAGGGGCCGGTTGTTCAAAAGAAGGTTCGCTTAACCCTAGCTTAAAGTGCGAATAACCCCAAATATAATTTTTAGAGGTCTGTGTAATATTTGGGTCATTCTGAGAAGAAATGTAATATATCTTTATAGTAAAAAATCCCATCATGATCAACTTTTTCACTGACAAAGTTTCCGGATATGATGTCATTAGGTGAATTGCAAATTAGTTTTCCTTTGTTTTTTTGTACCAAAAATTCACCCAATGACATCACATTCGGAAACTTTGACAGTGGAAAAGTTGATCAAGATGGGGTTTTTACTATAAAGATAGATGCGTTACATTTCTTCTTAGAATGACCCAAATATTACACATACAAAAACTTATATTTGGGGTTAGTCGCACCTATGGTCGCACTTTAACCTAAAATTAAAAGTAAACTTCACAACAGCTTGTTGATAAGTTTGGAAATATTTCTGTAGAGATCTTGTGTGAATCAGTAGGAGTTTTCTTCTCTGAAGTTTTGAAATAAACAGACGTGCAGAAATACATAAACTAAAACAGGGGGCGGTTGTTCAAAAGCAGGTTAGCTTAACCCTAGGTTAACCTAAAAGTCAAAGCAAATTTCCCAACAAACTTGGAAATATTTCTTCAGAAATCTTGAGTAGATAAATGAGAATTTTCTTCTCTGAAGTTTTGAAAGAAACAGCTAGATGTGCAGAAATACACAAACTAAAACAGCAGGTTAAATTTTAACCCAGGGTTAGCACTAATCCAGCTTTGAACAACCGGCTCCAGATCTCTTGCTTGTACAGGTAAACTCAATTAACAAGAAACGTACAGAAATTCTTTGTATTTTATGAAAAATGGGTTTCCCAAGGACGTCTTACATTACTACGAGAGGCATTAAGATTGGCGTGTACGGCAACTGGTATAACAGCAAACGACAAAGTTCAAATCGTAATTTGAAGTTAACTGTTAGCTTTTCGAAGTTAGAGCAATTTGTGCATTAAAATTGAAGCATGAATCAGCTACTTAGCTGTCGAAAACGTGGGGAACTTACCTTCAAATGTGACTTAAAGTTTTCCGTTTGCGGTCTACCGTAAACTTCAATCTTGAGGTCTCTATGGTCGCTAGCTACGCCACAGCGACTTGTGAGGTAAGTTGCAGTACTGACCTGATATTTTTGTCTTCGAAGCGCAATGAAAATCTAAAGGAGCCACTACTACCATCGAACGACATGATCGTCATATCTCGATTATGGCTCTAAGATTAAAATAATAGGTAGATACTCTAGTTCTCGAATAGTGTTACACCAAGTCATATAGCAAATAATACAAAATGTACAGAATATTGAGGCCAGTGGTGAACACTAGGGGAGAGGGGACGAAGGGGGCGTCGCCCCCCCCAATAATTTCTGAAAGTCTTTGAATGATGGCTGAACTGATAACTGTGTAACAATATATAACTATATTAGCCTCCTCCGCAGGCATCTCACCCGACGAATCGGGTGGTGGGAATTTTTTTCAAAACCCATTCGCAGGCTTGAACTCATAGAGAGGCCTGCGGAGGAGGCTATAACTATATATTGCATGTTGAAAGAACTGAGACTTCCTGCAACAAAAGGTGGTAATATGGTGGCAAGCTAAGTTCGCCCCCCCCCCCCATATTTTGCAAATGTTCTCCGCCAATGATTAAGGTTTAACATGTGTTCCTTAACTGATGTGATCATTTAACTGACCTGCTGGACACGAACAGCAAAATCGGTCCTGGCATTAAGTTCCACCACTTGAAATATAGAATAAACTTTTCTAATGAAAACATTTTCATCATACCTGGAAAATACAACCATAACGTACTGAAGACTTATTGACAAGGCATACAGCTTGCTATCATAAAACGAATCAAAGACACTTACATAAAGATAGTAGGGTAGAAAATTTCGCCCGATGACAACCTTAGAGAAAAGGCTTCTTGCTCCTATCAAAAAGTAAAGGCACATGATGCCAGTATAGGTAGCGACGATACAACTACTTGAAAAATTTAAACTGAATTTTGAAGTTCTGTTTTAAATTTTCAGGTAGCTGTATCTCTCTCAATCCGCATTCCGTAGTTGTTTTCAAAGGCATATGAATTTATTACCTCCGCCAGGAGGTTATGTAATCATCTGGGTTTGTATGTGTGTGTATGTGTGTGTGTATGTGTGTGTGTGTGTGTTTGTCTGTGAGCACGATAACTCAAGAAATACCAAACATATTCATACGAATTTTTTTGAGTGCATTTCCCATCGGCTAAGGAAGAACTGATTAAAATTTGGTTGAATTTGGTTAAAAATTAAAATTTTGTCTTGCTTTTCTCGGTCAATTAAAAAAAACTCACTGAATGCGTAATTAGGACGTGTATAATGTATGCACGCAGTACTAAGACAATAAGACAATACTGAGATGATAAACCTCATTAAGCTTCAGCCTTCATTATCTATTGTCTTAGTTGCATTTCACACGATCGAAATTCAATGGGGAAGGAGGTATGCAGTCTCTGAGTGCCCTCTAGTTTTTTTCTGTGTTGATGTAATGTACTCAGGTGAATATGATGCTTGTGTTGTTACTCTGAGTGTATATCCAGACCGGGCAAGCTTGAAAAATATGTCTGGCCAGGGTGGGAATCGATGAAATCGGTGGGAATCGTAGGTTCCATTCCCTTCGTGGCCAGGCATATTTTTCAAGCTTGCCCGGTCTGGATATACACTCAGAGTAACATCACAGGCATCAAAGGCATATGAGTTCAAGAAAATCATTATGACAATCAGTGTTGAATCACTGCTTATTATAAACTTACCTCAGAGAAAGGTCTGTCAGATGATCTTGCATCTCTGCCATTAATAAAAAAATATCCGTTAATGGACCATTCCCAATTAACCAAAATTTTGAACTCAACAAGTCCAGATAAAAATTTCATCACAGCTTGAAAGAGCATCACAAAATTAGTAATATTCCAAAGTTTCGTTGCAAAATGTTGTAAAATGCGGATAATATAGCCTTGCGAAGTTTGCAATTTTCAGTCATTTTAGATTACAAACGGGAAATGGTTACCACTTCTGTGCGTAATACAAAATTGACTGAAAATTGCAAATTTCGCAAGGCTATATTATCCGCATTTTACAACATTTCGCAACGAAACTTTGGAATATTACTAATTTTGTGATGCTCTTTCATGCTATGATGGAATTTTGTCTAGACTTGTTGAGATCAAAATTTTGGTTAATTGGGGAATGGTGCACTACACAGATTATTAATTCATCTACATGACTACATACAGTAATTGGTTAACAGTGAATGACATGGCGGAATGAAGTCAGATAATTCAAGTAAGTGATCATACCTGATAAATGTTCGTCTTGTTGGTGGACATCCAGCATGAAAATGAAACACCTAGAAAGATGGGTGTATTTAAAGCATGGCTCCTATTAAGTGGTGTAATGGGAGCCGGGGAGGCAACCTCGTACCCAGGTTCTCAATCTTCACTCCTACCTCGCTTGAATTGAGACCCTGGTATCGGCTGGTCACGTTATCCGTCATATTTTGGCGGATTTGCTATTGTAGATATTGTAGTAAACATTAATATTGTTAAAATAACATTACAAAACAAAACGTCTCAGTTACTATCCTTTCCCTAAAAACAAATTAGCAAATCCGCCAAAATATGACGGGCCACGTGACCAGCCGATACCAGGGTCTCAATTCAAGCGAGGTAGGAGCAAGATTGAGAACATGGGTACGAGGTTGCCGGGGAGGTGGGGGGGGGGGGCAAGGAAAAAGCATTTACCTAAGGAGGGCTGGGGGATTATTCCCAGAAACTTTCCAACATCGGGGGCTTGATTTCCCGCATTTTCAGACAGAAAATGTTTGATATATTTCATCTTCTCTATATAAATGTTTGGTCATAAATTTATCACGCATATAAGCCTCCTCGTCATCCGGAAAAGCACATACCTTATGAAATGGTCTCCTGCATGTCATACTGTTGAGTTTTGGAAGAAGAGTCACAGAAAAGCTGGAAAAACATATTATAATAAGAAAATCTCACTCTCCTGGTTAAGTTTAACAAATGTATAAAATTTACACATACAAAATCCTTTAACAAACAGTACTATCACGAGTGATATGCCCAACATCCTGACCAGTATTTACCAATAAAAAGTAAAGTCTACTGATTTAATTTTTATGCTAACTATAATTATATCTTACCTTGACGAAGTGGTAAAAGTTGAATTTTCGGCCTTCCTTTCTTTGAATGTAAACGTCTGAAGAGAAAACAAGAAAGGATGACGTCATGTCACTAGCTCACCAGCACAGTAATCTGAAATATTTCCATCTCGTTACCTTATTCAGCACGATCACATCTTGGTAATATTCTTTACGTTCAGAAACTGTTAGAAGGAGGTCTTCCATCGGATTCCAGATGAGCTGGAATAATAATTAAACAGAATTGTATATTTTATCTGATTGAGTCATCAACATGTCCTGAATGCAACGGCTCAAAACTGCCGCCTGCCATAAAATTACATACCAGGACTTTTCATTTTAGATTTTGAAGACGATTACCTCAACATCATTTAAGTAACTTCTTTTGTACGCCAAGTAGCCCCAAATCTGTTAAATAGTACGTAAAAAGACACCATGTATGCCAAGGCATTTTTTAATACCATGGACTGGTGGGGCATTTGCCCCACTGGGCCCCTTTCTCTGCCCCACCACTGAAGAAAAAAAATGGCCTATTGCCCCAAAGCCAGGGCCCTAGGACCTGTATTGAGTAAATGAGTTTATCATTGAAAAGAAGTTTAAAAAAACAAAATTTGTTGGTTTGCATACTTAAACTTATGTTATGTTTGAATGTTTATCATGTAATTTATTACAAATTTCACCATTAAAACTTTGTTTTGAGAAGCTGAAATGTTTTTCAATGTGTTCTCAGAATGCACGAAATGCTATTTCAGAGGCCCAAATTTTAAAAATTTCCTGGGAGGGGGATGGCCCCAGCTTCAACCCCCCCCCCCTCTAGCTAACTCGTACCTGCGGTACTCTGCTCACACCTTCGGCGATCGAATACTATGCTGGGGGAGGGCAAGGAAAATAGGCCCTTTGGCAGTTTTGCCCCACCACTGAAGAATCCTTAAAAAATGCACTGTTATATGCAGAATTTGTTCACCAGAGGGGAAGTAATATACAGTACCTCATGTTGAAGTAAGTACCCAAATGCCCATGCATTCAAAGCCATATCAGTTAGATGTATGCTTATAGCTGTCTCATACAGAATCATACATTCTGATTCATAAGATTGTAAGCGCCATTTGGCTTAGTAACTTATAAAACATTATAAAATCAGGGCGGCTGCCCCTGTTGCCCCCTCCCCGCCGCTCCTTGTATAAAAGTATTTGAAAGAACTTTTAAAAATTTATGATAATTAATATTTAAACTATATATTTTAGATATAAGAACTAATTAAATAATTCACTTGATTATTTTTATAATGCTTTGTCAATTCAATATTGCTGAAACATTCTTTACCTCGAAACGTTCCCATCTATCCACAACGTTACTTGATGATAAGTTTCCAAACGAAAATTGAATAAACTAAAACGGAATAATGCAGTTTGCATTAAATAAAATGAACAGAGAGATGAAACGAAAATTAGACAGAAGCTGAATTCAAACTTGACTTACTGGACAATAAACATCGGGATAAAGAGCATTAAAGATCTCGTTATCTAGAGCAAAGTTCTTCCTGATAACTGTAGGCGAGCTGTTGAAAAACAAGATGAAAACAAAACAATAGCCCCTGATAGTTTGACCTTATGTTTAGTAAAGTGAAGAATAATTTATGCTGCTCATTAGCATTATTGACCAGTTTAGTTTTGGTGGCTTTTTATTCACAACCAGTTTTTATGTGATGATTTTTGTGTGTCTTGGTGTTATGTACTCAGGTGAATGATGTTTGTGATGTTACTCTGATTGTGGATCCACACGGGGCAAGCTGGAAAGTTTGCCTGACCACGGTGGGAATCGAACCCACGATCTACTGGATCAGTTTGAACCATTGAACTATAAATAAACTGGAAGGCTAACTCAGGGGGGGGGGAATTGAAGCCAGTGTATTTTAGTTTTTCTGAGTTATGAGCAGAAATACTCAACACTGAACGTTGGGCTATATATCAAATTGAAGCTATTGAAAAACGCTATTTGGTGTAGAAATTTCAAGACTTTAGCTAAAAGGGAAATATTAAAAAACTACAAACATAATTACCGATAATTTGCCGTTTTGCAGTTGTTTTTGTATTTTTTAAATATTTTTTCTTTTCGCTGAAGTCTTGAAATTTCGCCA